ATCTCCGGGTATCTCCTCTCTGCTCCCTGCAATACTTTACTAACATAATAGATGGGTCGTTGGACTCGATCTACTTCTTTTATTAGTACCGAACTGACCACTTCGTCACTCGCCGAGAGGTACAGTTCTAAAATGTCGCCCTCCTCGGGCCGGGTTAAGATCGGCACAGTAGCGAGGTATTTCTTGAGCTCGTCAAACGCGAGCTGATAGTCTTGGGTCCACTCGAACCCTTTGCTCTTGATTGCCTTAAAGAACGGCAGACATCGGTCCACCGATTTGGACATGAAGCGGCTCAGGGCGGCTATGCGGCCATTCAACCTCTGAACCTCCTTCAACTTACGGGGTGGTCTCATGTCTAAGATGGCCTTAACCTTATCCGGGTTGGCTTCAATGCCGCACCGGTTAACGATGTATCCTAGGAATTTAGCCGAGGTCACACCAAACACACACTTGTTTGGGTTCAATCTCATATTAAACTTACGCAAAATTTCAAAAACAGAATGCAAGTCTTGTGTTAATTCATGTGAGAATTGAGTTTTGACAACCATGTCGTCTACATAGCATTCTACTTTTCTGCCGATTAACGGTGCGAACAATTTATTTACGAGCCTTTGAAAGGTTGCCCCCGCGTTTTTCAAACCGAAGGGCATAACCTTGTAACAGTGCAGGCCGAATTCCGTGATGAAGGCAGTCTTTTCTTCGTCCGCCGGGTCCATCTTGATTTGGTTATAGCCCGAATAGGTGTCCAAGAAACTTAGCAACTCAAGCCCTGAGGTCGCGTCCACCAAACGGTCGATTCTGGGGAGTGGGAAGCAGTCTTTCGGGCAAGCCCGGTTCAGGTCGGTGTAGTCGACGCACATGCGTCACTTACTGTTGGCCTTCTTTACGAAGATGGCGTTGGCTACCCAGCTCGGGTAGTGGACTCTTATGAAGTCCGCTGCGAGGAGATTCTCGACTTCCTCGTCGACCGCTCTCCACCGTTCCGGGGCTAGGTTGCGTTTCTTCTGTCTAACGGGCCTAATTACAGGATCAGTGTTCAACTTATGAGTTATGAATTCGGGGTCTATACCGGGCATTTCTGCCGCGGACCATGCAAAAATATATAAATTTTGAAGTAAAAAACTTACCAGTTTGGATCGTAGGGGCTCCTGGACGAAAGCGCCGATCTGAAGCATCCAAGCTGAGTCTGCTGTTGAGGTCGGGACCGCGACTATTTCTTCCGTGGGTGTGGCTCGCTCTTCGCTTTGCTCCGTGGGTCGTTCCAGTTCGAGGTCATCGGCCACCTTGGTTTTCCCCTTTAGGGCGGCAACGTAGCACTTGCGGGACTCGAGCTGGTCGCCCCGCGCTACTCCCACACCGAAATCTGTTGGGAACTTCATAGCCAAGTGGTAAGTGGAGACCACCGCCCGTAGGACATGGGTGATCGGTCGACTTACTATGGCATTATAGGGGGAGGGGGTCGTGACCACCAAGAAGTTGTGCTTGAATTTGACCACACAAGGCCACGTGCCGACTTCCACAGGTACTGTTATTTTCCCAAGGGGCCAGACTTCTTCTCTGTTGAAGCCTACCAAAGGAGTGTCTGCGGCTTTAGGTCGCTTCTCTGCAACTGGTGCTAGTCAAACGTAGCTTTGAACAGAACGTCGGTTGAGCTGCCTAATTCAACGATTACACGCCTGACCTCAAAGTCGTTGATTCTTAGCTTTATTACGAGTGCGTAGTCGTGGGGGTAGTAGACTCCTCGTGCATCGTCTTCTGTGAAGAAAATTGGGTCTCCCGTCTTTGGCCGCTTTGGGGGGTTCTGCTCTTCCCGGGTGGCCTCACGAACTGATGTTCGAGCTGCTGCTGAAGTGCAACCCGCAACGATCAAACCTCCCACTATCATGTGGATGGTCCCCCGAACCGGCCTCTCCTCTGGCGGCTGCCTCTGCGGTTGTTCGGCCGGCCTGCTGCTGGACTCGGGAGCATCTTTACCGTGCTCCCCTTGCCGACTTGTTCTATTACTGTTATTATTATTATTTTGTACGGAGTTTCTCAAATATCCGCGACGGATGAGCTCCTCTATCTCGTCGCGGAGGTTTTTACAACTCTCGGTACTGTGACCGTGGTCTTTGTGAAGACTACAGTACATACTCTTATTTCTTTCATTGGGATTCCCTCTCAGACGGGGTGGCCACTTCACGTACGAGGCGTCCTTGATCGCCATCAGGATTTCGGCCCGCTTCGCGTTCAGTGGGGAGTAATCAGCTCGGTCCGGTGCAGGAGCTCGAAACAATTGACCCGGCTTTGCCCCCCGAATTGTTTCCTTTTTTCCTTCGGGTGTCATCTTGACTGGAAGGCTCTCATTCTCTCTTTCTTTTTTCGGGTGCTCCCTCACCCTTCTGGTTGATCTCCTCTTCGGTGGCTATGAACTTATCCACAAGCTTTAGAAACTCGGTTATGGTCGTGGGTTGGTTGACGATCATGTGCACTTGAACTCTTTGTGCGTCACGCCCTTCTTGGCTGCTGCAAGGCGTATGGCGGGGTCCAGGCACGGTATCTGCATACAAGCATCGTTGAACCGCTTGATATAGCTCCGGATGGACTCTCCTTCTCTTTGTGCTACGTTGAAGATGCTTTCTTTAGTTCGCGGGCATCGTTTGCTAGTGACAAAGTGGGACGTGAAGGTTTGTGCGAACTGCGCCCAACTTCCTATCGACCCGGGTGCCAAGTTCCAGTACCACGTACGGGCTGCTCCCTTGAAAGTAGTGGAGAAGGCCACACACATGCACGACTCATTGGCTCGCACCAGGTGCATCTGTGACTGAAAGGCATCTACATGATCATTCGGGTCGAACGATCCGTCATACTTGTCAAGAGGGGGGAGCTTGAAATCCTTGGGTATCGGGACTGCCAGGAGTTCAGAAGACAGGGGGGACGGAACCGAGACGAGGGGAACTTTGACTTCGACCGAGCTTACCTCTTCTTTGCCCATAAGCTCGGGCAAATCGCGGGTGACAGATCGGCGAGCTCGGCGGTGGCGTCTCTGCTTCTTAATGGGATCGACGTTCGTACTGCTCACCTC